GTTGCCATGTCTGATGGGCGAATGGCAACAAAAACACCGAACCGCTCGCGCCCGGCTTGGAGTTCATTCAGCTTAAATTAGGCAGCGGTTCTGACCAGCGAGTCCTCCGTCAAGGCGGGCGGTCAGTGGCTGTGTGTGTGTCCCGAGAACATTGCCGGTGTGTTTCCTTTTTCCCTAACGCTCCGCACAGCAACCTGTTCAACTCATAAACAAGCCCGGCACAGCTGTATGGAGAGTGCTGTCACACCCCCCAAATAGACACTCGCGCTCAACCCGTCCGCCTGCTGATGAGACTCCACCGGGACAGCTAGCCAAACAAAGTTCCCTCGTTAACTTTCCAGTAGCGTTAAAAAAAAAATAAAAAAAATAAAAAATATTAACGTATTGAGATACATTCAGCAGACTGTGGTTGGCGTCGGGAAAGCGCTTGCTGTGGGGTTTAAAGTTTTGTGAATGGAAGTAAATTGAGGCTTACCTACAAGTAGAGAGGGACAAGCGGCGCTCCAGAGAGGAACCACGTTGGACTGGAGCGGGATTACAATACGTTCTATTTACAGAAGCATTACATCACCCTCCCGGTGACGTCACGTGGGATTCCTGAACTTCTAAATCATTGCGGTCCCGTACGGAGAGAGGGTGAGGGGGGCGGGGTTATGACACCGGCCGGTAGGGGGACGGACGGGACGGCAGTTCGGTGGTGGACCTGGACCTGACAGACGAGCCTAGTCAGGCAACGTGACGGGACACGGGGCAGACCGGGTGGGCGGATGAAACCCTGCTTTTTTTTCTCTCTCTCTCTCCCCGCTTTCAGTGTCTGTCTAAAACGGGACGTCCCAGCGTCTGCATCGAGTCTATGCGTCAAAATGAGCAATAGCCCCCAAGGTTTTTATATTCAAAACGGGATATGATAGGTTCTGTTTATTTCTATAACAACAACAACAACATAATAATTATTATTATTATCAAGATATTACCTACAAAAAAAAACACTATTTGTATTTCTTTACACGTTATATAAAAACTTGACTTGTATTCAGACACTGCATGTTATTGATCATTGATAAATTATTATTGATCATATATACACCTTATTTTTTTGTTATATGTTTTTTTTTTACCCCTTTCTTTCTTTAACTTTTTTTTTTAGAATTGTGTGTAAGCAACTTTAAACCAGAGTCAAATTCCTTGTATGTGTATACTTGGCCAATAATGCTGATTCTGATTGTGATCTTTTTTTCAAGACAACTATACAGCCAGCATACAATAAATAACATCTACCAACCATCAAGCAACAAACAGAATTGATAAATAGAAATATTCTATTACAGTAATCAAAAAACACTTTAAAAATAATAAAGCTTTAAAATCTAGAATGAAAGAATGTAAAAAATGGTTTGTATTTCATTCCATTTAAACTGTTACTGTAGTTCTGCTAGGATTAGTGCAACCATGTGGGACACTAAGATTGAGTTATTATTGGATCAGACAGGATGCTTTAATTACAATATTTATAAGATAAAAGCTGTGAGGTAGTTCAAAAATTTTAGCAGTGGAGAGCTGTTAATAAACTGCAACACATGGTGACATATTGGGTTCATTGCTACCATCAATACATCCACAGTCTCTACACACCGGTAGCCATTGTGTGTTAAATGTGATGTCATGAGTCAGGATCAGGACAAAGAGTCGCACCCCATACTGACACAAGTATGTGTATGGGACCCATATTTCATACAGGAGAAGCTTCACAGTTTAAGACGCTTTATTCATTGTGTTTTGCTTTTAAATATGACTTTTTTTAAAGGATGAATGGTTTTGATAAAGATGTGATATGAAGTATACAGGCTCATCCTTTTTAATGTTTTTCAGACAAGTTACATTAAATGTAATTATTGTATCTAAAAAAAAAAAAGAAATTCCCACTGATAAAATTATTTACATGATGCCATGAAATTCCATAGGGACTTTGGTCATTCACATCTCCACTGAGCTAAGCCATGCAGTAATATCTCTGCCATGTTTGGTCAGGCTTTCCGGTGCTCCATCCGGACTTGAGCTGAACAGAGGGATTGGGTTTTGTTGTGGTTGAAGCGAAAATGGGACCAAACCCTACTGACTCATCATCCACCAATCGCCTAAGGTATGCAAATTCTGGTAGCCATGGTAATGAGAAGAAACAGGAAGTTGAGATGATGTCAGTCTGTGTTTTGAGTTCTTCCCCCTTGTGGATGTGAATCACAGCATTTTGTTTTCAGTGAAGATAAGGGATGTTTTACAGCACGTGTGTGTGTGTGTGTGTGTGTGTATGTGCTAGTGAAGAGTGCACAGTCACACTAAAAAGTGTATGACGGCAGCCAGGAAGTCTCTTGCTGGTGCCCTGGAGCAGACAATGCTGCTGAGATTACAACTACCTCCATAACTCAGTGGCTATACCAGCCATTACCATCTGGCATCTTAACCTCAGCATGGCTTTTAACAGCCAGACTGGGAGCTTTAGAGAGCTGCCTGCTCCGAGTCTGATGTCACCTTGTCTGTAAAAATATGGAGTTTCAGGTCAAAGGTCAAACAAACTTACTGACCTAAATCCCCATGCAGCATTATCCTCAGTGCAGCTACATCACACATCTGGCTCAGCTGCCAACTGTTTTGATTTGAAACTGTTTTTGACTGTTTCTATCAGTGAGTTGCAGAGTAATGTGTGACTAATGAGCGACTTTAAACGTAACTGGAAACAGATATTTTAAGCAGCAACCAAGTGTACAAGTTAAAGTCATCTCATTATGTAATGCGATGGTTGGAGTTAAATTTACATCCAACTCTGCCCTCACATGCAGATCCACTCATGAGCAGACCACTGGTGTGTGTGTGTGTGTGTGTGTGTGTGTCAGCCCACAATGCACAACATGTGCACACCGGAGCTGTGTGTTGGTCTTCACACTGATTTAGACTGTTTGCCTTGAGTGGAAAAGAGGCGATAATCAGAAGATCCAATGCGAGTTTGAAATCTATCCCAAGCTGTTGCATTGTGCGCCACCCACAGACCTCAGATCAGATGATGTCATGCACCATGAACTCTCTGTGTCTCTCGCTTTCTCTCCTGCGTTTCACAACACATGCTACCACTTCTCATTTACGTAATGGTGTTGGGAACTGCGTCACTGTCACAGTTGTGATACACCATGTGTGTGTAATGAGTGTGTTTATGTTGAGTGTGTGTCTACATGTTTGTGTGTAAGAGAGAACATCTGTGTTAGGCTGATGAAGTCACTGAATTTCTATACTGTACAAGTGTGTGAGAGACCGTGGATGGCGGTGATGTCATGTTGTTTGTGTGTGCGCGTGTGTGTGTGTGTGTGTTTGTAACGGTTAGTACTTGCTTGAGGCGGTGAATTGGAGTTTATTTTATGTTTTTGTGTGTTTCATATGGTTGGATAGATAGAGGGCAGTCAGAAAAGGAGTGAGTGTGTTCCTAGGTCTTAAGGTTGTTTGCTGAAGTCACTGGCCAGTGGTTTATGACAGGCCATTTTAACGCTCGATTAACAGGTCCAACACAGGCCAGCCGGCCCTGGTTAGCCAACCCCAGTGATTTAAGGACATTCTCTTCTCTCTGGGAGCCACACACACACACATACACACATTACAAAGTCCTCCCCTCACCACTGAGCCATTACAGGGCAACATTAATCCGTAAAACTTTATGGATGTAATAGATGTCGTTGTCAATGGGTTATGCAACTGCTATAACTTAAATATTGATTCACACATAGCCTACATGTGCAGTTGAACTATAACACCCCTTTAGTTAGAGTTATCTCTTTGACTTTGCTAATGGTAGAAAAATAAACAACAATCATTTTACGAAATGCTACAAACAAACGATGATAATTTTAAGATTTTCAAAATTCCATTCATCTGTTTTGAAGCTAAAGCACTGACATGTTTTATAAACATGTAAAATATTCCCTCCAGCCCATTACATAGCAACAATTGAATCTATTCCATTACAACAGAAACCCCAAGGCAAGGAAAAGTATTTATATTGCACATTTCAATTTGATTATGTTAGACAGACAACAGAAATACAACAGAAGGCAATGTTTGGAGAGTAAAAAAATGATGCAGCATCTACTGTATTCACCATGATGAATCTAAAGAGAGGAATTTAGATTGTCAGCATAAGTCCAGCTCACAACCAGTTGTTATTCTGGGACTATGATGCTGATTCTGGGTGACTCTCGTCACCAGTGTTTGGTTCCTCCTCCCCTCCTCTGTCCACACACTATCTGGTTGACTGCTCAGGCCTAGTCACTGGCAAGCTCTAAGATCCTAATGGGACTTTTCTTTAGTGTATTATTATAGGTGATCTACAGTTAAATAACATGTTCTAGACATTTGTGAATTTTCTGATAGAATATTCCTTATATTTATACTTATATATTTAATTTGGGAATTTACAATGAATTAAATATATTAAATGGATTCATAATAAATTTGATTTACTACCCATTACATTTTTTGGATGACTGCTAAATCTATCATCAGTGTATAGTTTTCCACCAAAGAATCAACTCTTTCTATATTTGCAAGCCTAATTGACAAGCTGTGGCGATACAAAAGGAAAACAACAACACATTACACATTTCTGAATTCACTAATATGTATTTCTTAGCCTACACAATTGAGGCATTCACAATTAATCTGGATATGAGATATAACTAAAACATAAAAAAAAACAGCTTCTAATTAAACACATATAATGAACAGACCTGGCTCTGTTGATCAATATGAGCAAGAAGAGAAGACAAGACAAGAAAAAATATATATGCATATGTGTTTTGCATATCAGTTGTTGCCAAGATGTAACTTTGATTTATTTGTTTTTTGTCATCAGTAATAGTATTATTCATAGAGCTTCAGGGGCACTGATCCTAACAGGTAGGCAGGTCGTGACGTGGTCTGTCACCAGCCAGCCCTACCCCCATCCCCACCCCCACCGTCCCGCCTGCCTCCCAGCTGCGTCCGCCGCTGTCCTGTCTGGCCGCCCGGTGTCTGCTCCGCCGCTCCGCGCTCTGCGGCGCTCCCACCCCGAACCCGAAGACTCTGCCTCCTCGTTCACCACCCCCGGCTCCCGGACCCCCCCTCCTCTCCACCCGGTGAATGCACCAGCGCCGAAAACATGACGGGCATCGCCGCCGCTTCTTTCTTCTCTAATTCCTGCAGGTTCGGGGGCTGCGGTCTCCAGTTCGAGTCTCTCTCCGAGCTCATCGTCCACATCGAGGACAATCACATCGGTGAGTCGGGCCAGAGGGGCAGACGGAGCTAGGCAGCTAGCTGGCGTTAGCTAGCGTCCTAGCTAGCTAGCTGAACGTAACGTTATACAGGCTCGGCTGTGCATTCCGCTATTCCTGCCGCTCGCTCTCCGTCGAGGCTCGTCTGAGTGCGAGTTATTCAGCAACAGGGGACTTTAATTCCTTTGAACAACACTGCTTCTCTGTGAAATAAGTGACGGCTCGTTTTTTTAATTTATTCTGCATTAGCTGTGATAGTCACCTTTTGCAGCGGTAACTCGACTACGAGGGCCGCGCAGGTCTCATAGGTGTAACTAGCATTCCGACCAGGCAGCGGTTTCACGGCTAACCTGGCAGTGGAGTCGGTGTGTTTACGTTTCCAGGCCTGATGCAGAGCCGGGAGGGGAGGGGGGGCGTTTGTATATTGAGCTTGCCAAGTAGTCTGTCGCTTTTGTCACCTCAAGTGTCTCAGCGCATCCACACATTAGTGCTTTCTGATATCGTTAGTGTCACTTAATTAACATCGGTTGAACCAAGTTGCGGCAGACGTGCAATTCAATGATTATATTTGACTTCCACGTACAGAAGCTTCAACTTGTTGCTTATTAGATTTCCATCTGACAGTCAACCCTCTGATAACTGTCACCTGACATCTAGAGACTGGAGACTGGTGGCTAATCACTTCACCCACCATTTGACATGAGACACACAGAAATATTTAGTGTTTGAACACCATATATGACTTCATTCATTGATAAGTAATGATCAAATAATAAGTAGTGCGTCACTTTAACAATAGGTTTTCTGTATTGGCTGTAATTGATGCATTTATCAACTTATATTTGTCACCATGGATGCATTTGACAAATATGGTCTCTCAAGAAAGGTTGAATAGATATTATGTTCTAATTGCAGTTCACTAATGACCTGAATGAAATGCCTCTCTTACATGAAATCTTAGTGAAAGTCATTAGCATTGCTTGTTTTTTTTTTGAGGGAGGGCTGCTTTACTATTGCCCTAAAATAACAGGGGAAAAAACATTCAGATGTAGTCTAATTACTGCCCTGCAATGTAATGCTTGTTAAATATTTAACACTTTTTGAAGCACAGTTCAAGCTGTGTGTCTTCTGCATAAACACTGAATAATCCACTGTGGTAGATTAACCTATAATCCACCATGGCAAATCACACTATAGAAGAACCGAGGGAGTTGTGAACCACCTAAACACTCAATAATCTGTAACAAAGTTGATGTGGGCTAATCATTATTTGCGGCGTGTATCCATCCTCGGGAGGCTGTTTGAAGCGGGCGAGGCGGTGGGGTGAGGGGGTAGAATGGATGCTTCAATGAGCCAGTCTCCATGGCAACTGGCTGTCTCTGAAGGGGTTGGGGGCAGTATATTGGCGGAGTTATTGCACACCTGCTGTCTCACTAACAAAGAGCGCTCCTGAGCAGCCAGCTGTGGTTAAGGCACCCAACATGTGATGTCACATCATATGTGGGACAGGACCGATGTGTGTTGTGAATGAATTAAGG